CCGTGCTTCATCATGACGCTGCCACCACCGTGCTTCATCATGATGGTAGAAGTCACAGGAGTCTTGGTGCCTCCCTCTCTAGTCTCCTTCTTGCTCGGTCACTCAGTCTCTGAGGACATCCTGCTCTACTCAGATCTCCTCATGGTCCATGTTCCTTCCATTCCTTAATGATGGTTTTAACTGGACTCCAGAGATGTTCAGTAACTTGGAGATGTTCTTGTATCGTCTCTTGACTGATGCATCTCAACAACCTTTCCCAGAGTTCTTGGAGTGTTCTTCAGTCTTCATGGTGTAGTTCTATCCAGGAGTTCTGACCCACCAGTATCTGGACCTTCCAGTCTTTATACTACAACCACTGAGACTCATTCACTGACCTCAGATGATGCATTTACTGACTGTGGGGCTTCTAGCGCCACCTGGCTGCACCTGAGTTACATTACACTTTAAAGGGGACTAAGTTTGTTTTCACTCTGACAGAAAGAGACATTTTTTTGTAAATTCTTATCCAACAATCCCGTTAAATTGATTGTTGAAAAGCAATAACGGTGAAACATTTAAGAGGAGGATGAATGCTGTTGATAGACACTCTAAGTTTGTTGTAGCACCTGAACACGTCTCCGGCCAGAGTCGGCTCCATGTTGGAGTTCTGAAACTCAGGTGGCATGTACACCTCCAGGAGTCTCTGCTGATAGGTGGACAGAGGCTCCATCCCGTCATCTCTGCGATACGTCCTCAGCCCGTAATCTGATTGGACAGACCACATATCAGTCCAAAAGGAGTTCTAACAAGCAGCTAATGAGCAACTCATGAATGAGGAATATGTTTACCTTTAATGTAAATGTGACCAAGGAGACTCTAACGAAGTGGAACAAGAACTTTGAAGCTGGTTTCATGCACTGTTCACATTTCTTCAGAGGAGATTAATACAAATTAGGTTGAGTTTATACCTCAACAATTCACCTGGAGTCTCGTCTTTATTTCTTTAACCCAAAATACTTCACACTGAACACATTTACTGCGTGTTTGGATGAAGTCAGCTCAGCTTCTGCTGCTAGAAAGTGGAGTCAAATGAAGTCACTTTGTATCTGGATGTGTTTAATGTTTTGCAGGATCTCTGTCAGATGGTGGATGTTCTGCTTCTACCCGTTCACCGCCTGTTGTCATGAATGCCTGACATACCTGTTATCTTACAGACCCAGCGGTCGTCTAAGACGCAGTTTAGCGACTTGAGTCGGCCGTGACAGATCCGGTGCTGGTGGAGGTACGACATCCCTCTGACGATGTCGGTGGCGAAGGAGAACCTGCAAACGGCCAGAACCGTGTGAAAAACACCATCAGCTGTTGTTGGAGCTTTAATGCACTGGACGTGTGACTGGATCTGAAATGAGGGATGTGACCTGAAGCCCCAGTTCAGAGGGATCTCCTCGTTAAGGAGGACGTCGTTTAGGCTTCCCTTTGGACAGTACTCCGTTACTATGGCGACGTCAGGCACCTCGACACAACCGCCGATGAACTTGCACAGGTTTGGATGATCGAGTTCCCTGAAGGCAGAACAACTGATCAATCGAAAACTATTCTGATCATCAGTTTGGCAGTTTGAGTAAAACATTCTGAGATTGCAGCTTCTTCAGTGTTGAAATAAACAAACAAAACCAACTCGTACGCTGGAGGAGTCCTCAGTGCTGAAAGAGGGACTTTAGGTCATCACTTATCTTTTATTTTTCTGACTTCTTTGTGTGCTGGTTTGTTTTCTAATTTACCAAAAAATGGCAAATGATACAGATCAGATCCAAGTAAGTCAGAGTTTCCCTAAAAGGCAAAGAAACACTGAAATGGTTGAACACGAACTCGTTTTGTTTTTGTCCTGTTGGTCAAATTTCCAGTGGTTTTGTGAGAAGCTTTGTCCCATCAAACAGATTTGAAGTCATTTCAGACAAGTTTTTGTACGTTTTTAGGTCATTTTGGACAATTTTGTCTCATAAATAACCAAAGATTGAATGTTTTTCTGATTTGATTCGTGTTGACAGGAGCACTAACCAACAGCCACAAAGGGCTCCTCAGAGTTCAGAGTGGATGGACGGTGATAGTCCTGGTTAGTTTCACTCGGTGCATGAGTTACCTGACTTGTTTCACCTCCTGTCTGATGGTTTTGGACAAAGAGAAAGTCTTGGTTTGAATCTTCTTGATGGCCACCGTCCTGCCGTCGCTGCAGAGGAGACGTGGCTTTAGAACACACTGGAGAACATCGTGAGGGTTAAACAGACAGACAGGTGTGTTCCTACTATATGCCGGTGCAGGTGAACAGAGTTTTCCTGGTTCCTGGCTGTCCGGTGCAGGAGCTCAGAGCAGTGACACAGCTGGTGTTACTGTCACTGTTCCCCACCGGGACGCTCATGATGCTGCCCATGGTCATGTGAGCCTCCTGGTCTACGGCACAAACAAACAAACAAACAAACAAACAAACAAACAAACAAACAAACAAACAAACAAACAGCCGCTTTAACAGCAGAAGTCTTGTTCTCTGTGCTCACAGACGATCCAGCAGTTGTGAAACACAGTGGAGTTATTTTGCTTTTGGAGGTTTTTGCTCAGAACAAGCAACAAATACCATGTACTGTCTATTTTTGCTGGCATGTTTTAGTCATTTAAAGTGGCACAGTTTCACATGAGACTGTCTGAGACCCATTTGAACCAATCCATCCGACCTGTCCACTTCCAATCTGCTGTCCGGTTTGCCAAAAACACTGATGAAGAAACATGAGAAGACCAGAGCGAGACGCCGATCCATCGTGTAGAGACCAAACTAGTTAACGTAGCTACAGTTTTCTTTGGTTTCAGTCTTTCTCTATATTTGTTTCAGACCTCTCGTTCCCACTGTTAGACTGGTTCTGTTCCAGTTTCAGAGCTGGATGAACTAGAGTTACCTTGTTTTATGGTGGAGAAGTCGATGATCCAGCTTTCGTCCCAGAGCAGCTTCTCCTTCTGGTACCTCAGCCACTGCAGGACACAGATTCACGGACGGTGGTTTCCATTACTGTGTTGTTTCTCGTGAGCACAGACTGTATGTGAAAGATGGACGCCGCCTGTTGGTGTGATGACGACAGTTTTGTCTCGGTGTTTTGAAACCAGATGTGGTGAGGAAGTCGTGGTTCTGACTGAGAACTTGAAGACGCCTCTTACATCCTGAAGCATCCTCTGCTTTATCGTCTGTTTTCTTTTAAATTTCAACCATCATTTATAAAACGAGCATCGTGCTGTATTGAGGGAGACTTAAAACTAGCGATTGAGACCATAAACTCATCAGGAGGATGTTTACTGAGGCAGCAAATCAAGCGAGAAATTGGTTCATTGTCTCATTGACTTCTATGCAGTCGGGCTCAGAGGTGTCGCCTCCTGCTGGCTGTGAGACAGAATGCAGGTTTAAGGCTTGGTCCATCCTTCACACACTCTGTGGTTTCTGTGGTTGTGTCGTAGTCGTTCTCACCACAGCGGTCAGAATAAAGGAGAGGCAGAGCAGGCTGAGCGGCAGGCCGATGGCCAGTTTGGTGGCAGCAGTCATTGGACATTCACCGCAGTCAGCTGGACAGGTGGAACAAAGCTCCGCCTCCTCGCAGATGCCGTCGCCGCAGACTTAGAATGAGAAAGTTAAAGACCATAAACTGAACGTGTTTGGGCTGTGGACAAAACAAGACGTTTGTCATTTTGTTTTACGGACAAAACAACTAAGTAAAGTAAAAAAATGCACCAAAACATCAAGTGGAATTTAAGTATTTTATCATCACAAGTGAGGGTGAGATGAAGCTGGATGTTAAACGGTGCAGTGTTGTGGTAAAGCCCAATAGGCAGGTTGTCTGGATCGATGTTAACCTGCGCTGGCTGCTCTGTAAAGTTAGCTTCTTTTTAGTTACGAGTCCTGCACAGCCTTCCTTCCTTTTACTGGCATTGAGCCACTTTATGATAATTTAGGGGCTCGTCCGGGATAACTGAAAACTACTGTTTTCTTGATAAAACGTTAAAACAAAAGAAAACAAGAAAAGAAATGACAGTAAATTGTTTAAAAATACATTAAATTAGAAAAAAAGGTGAAAAAATATACTAGAATACATTAGAAAAGCTTTTAAACAATCATACAACATTGGATAAGGCAATAACCACACTGGGGGCTCGTCCAGGATAAATGATGTTTGTCACGTGATCCTTGTTGTTTTCGTTTCTTTAGTCGTGTCTTCAGGTGGAACAGAAACAAACCTACCTACAGCCGGCAGAACGGTGCTTTTAGCCTCCAGAGCAACCTGCATCCGACCAACTCGTATGTGAGCGATGAGTGAAGTTAAACCAGCGTGGAACAGAACCACCTGCAAGACAACATGTTGGGTCTGACATTAAATCATCACAATGTGACTGCCTCACAGTAACCAAGTCAGATCCATCCCTGGATTAATTGAGTTTCTTTGTGAGTTTACTCTTATTTCTTTATCAGGAAGCACTTTGGGTCCATTTCTGTGGTTTCAAATGTGATCAGTTGATCACAGTGACTTGATAAAAGATGGAAATCTACAACAACTTGTTGTGTTAATTAGACTGATGAGCAAAGAGCCTGAAAACAAAAGTAACTGAGAGATAAAGTAGAATATCGTCTGCGTAGAACTTTATAAAATTCTTCTTAATTCGGTTGGGGCAGATGTAATAATGATCTTATAATGTTTGACCTTTTATATACTCAGGACAAGTTGCATTTCTCTACTTTGGATCATGTTTTTGTTGCTTTAGCCAGTGATATGATTTAATGCCATTTGTTTCCGAAGCCGACTGGCCGATTAGCTGGTCAATAAGCTCTCGTTTCATTCGGTTTTTTTTAGAGTGTCTGTGTTTCCTTTCAGTCGCAAAGTAGTCTCCTTGTGCGTTACCTTTGCCGTCCAGTTGGTCTGGGTCATCTTTCCGGACGTAGAGATGGTGTGGGTGAAGATCTTTCCGTCGTCAGGAATCCAGGGACCACAGATACTTTCAGTCGTCTGACAGTAAACGAAAACAGCAGAAAGATCAGATTTATGTCGTCTCCGCTGAAGTCCTGCTGGTTTCATCGTAGCTCAGGCCTGCTGTTGTGGATTGAAACCACATTCAGCCCCAAGAATCCTCCACTGCTTCTACCGCGAACACTTTCAATTCCTTCATCGATCGATCATCTCCTAAAGTCACCCAACTAGCAGAGAGCGTTCCCACAACGCTGGATAACATGACCGACAAAACCTAATCATTTGTTTTTAAATAGAACGTTTTAGTGGAACGTTCTTCTATAAAACGTCTCCACAGCGATAACAAAGGACGAATGTTCTCAATGCAACGTTCAGTAAACATTTTCAGGATGTTACTGAGACCTCAGATGTCAGGAGGTTCTTTATTGGACGTTCCCGTGCTGCGATATACAAATAAAGGTGGAACGTTCTGCCTGCGATGTGAATATCTGTCGATCAACCAATCTGTGAAATGGTTCCACAATGTTCCGTGATAACAAAGGAAGAACGCTCTGAACATAACGGTTGGTTTTTAGAGCGTTGGAACATAACGATCTAACAACGTTACAACCGAACAGTCTCAGAACGTCTTTAGGTGTCTTCCCTTTAAGGAGAGCGTTCTGGGAACTAAAAGAAAACTTTCCACAGAAAATATTAGTGGAACTTTTTTTTTTCCCCCTATCTGGGCGGTTCCAGCCGGTCGTACCATGTGTCCCAGAGGACACGAGTGGATGTTGGCGTGATGGATGCAGCAGTTTTCTCCGTTGGCGTCCTTCCAGTTGGTCGGACAGTCGTGATGTTCGCAGAACCTTCGAGCTTCTCCGGCATTCTTTATGGAGCTGAACACAGACAGACACCAGTTCAGACCAGTTCAGACCCATTCAGACCAATTCAGACCAGCACAAGAACCAGTTTGGAGCCTCTCAGAATCCTTGTTTCCGGTCTACAGCCAGTAAATGATGTTAGTAATCCTTAAAACAGCAGCCACAAAAGGTTTTATAAAAGAAAACACAGTGAAGGTGTAAAAACAAGAACAAAATGTTTTTAAAAAACGACGATAAAACGTTAAAAGAACGAGACAAAGTTAGAAAAAACGTTCAAAAAAAGACAAACATTGTTAAAGACAATAAAACATAATTTAAAAACAAATGCGGTCGAGCAGAAGAGAGACAATAAAACATTTAAAAGAAGAGACGACAGGCGCCTGGACAGCTCAGCGGGTAGTGCAGGCGACCCATGTACAGGGCTACAGTCCCCGACGCAGCGGCTCATTGGCTGCATGTCATTCCCCCTCTCCTCCTCCCACGTTTCTCTGTCTGTCTTTCACTGTCGCTGTTAATAAAGCCGGAAAAGGCCAGAAATAAATCTTTAACAAAAAAAAGAAGAGACGACACACTTTCAGAAGTTTTAAAAAACATAAAACATGAAAGAAGTTTTTAATGAGCCAAAGAAAAGAAAATGTAAAAGACAATAAAAACAATAAAAAGATAATGTGTTAAAAAAAAAAAAGAACCATAAACAAACCCGTTTACAACTAAGAGAGCTGGTGGGGTCCCAGTACGAACCAGTCCAGCCAGCGTACCTTTGGGTGAAGACGTGGTTCTGAACGGCCCAGCTGTAGAACGAGTCCTGGGCCGTGACTGAATATGTGACGCTGAACACTTCTCCACTTTTGACCAGTTCAGGAGGACGGACCACCCAGGACATCTCCAGACCTGAACAAAACCAAACGGGCTGCGTTCACTTCACTGGTCCACAGCGGGTCAGGACACGGCTGGAAACGTGTCACAAGTCACACAAACCTCCCAGAGTTTCTAGTCATTGTGCTGCGTTTAGTTGATGTTGGACACGTTTTAATTCAGCTGGAAAACTTCAGCTAGCATCACTTTGGACCGTTTCTAACTTGTTTTAAAAACGACAATTTGTTGTTCAGATGGAACCAGACGATATGTTCAAGAACCGTTGGAAAATTAAACCTAAGATGTGACAAATCTTCATGTTTCTGCAGTTTCTGGCTGACAAATGGTGACATTAGTGGATTTTTTTTTTTTAATGCCTTGAAACCCTGTTAGGTTTTAGGCTTAAACTCTTCCTATTTCATAAATCTGATTTAAGCTTTAAGCCGATTTAATGAGTCACAAACTGCTTTTCCGGTTGACGAGGTGACGTTCTGCCACCGGCGGCTGGCGACCGGAGGATGGTCCTCACCTCCACAGTCGATCATGTTGTTCTCGTTGGGTCGGTCCAGAGGCCAGCAGTCGTACTCGCTGTTGTCCAAGTCGTGCCAACAACAAGTCGGACCGACGCAAACGCAAACCTGGACACAGCAACACGACACACAAACCGAGAGCTCAAAACAAAGACTTGGCTTTGTTGATTTAGACGTGACACAAAATGACACGATTACAAAAATCTCAATTTAACTTTAAGTATTAAAAGTCTGATTTATTGTTCTAAGAGTGGATAAAAATAACAAAACCTGGATTTGTGCAGTAATTTAAACCCTGGACTATTTGATAAAGTAGATTTTTTATGAATATATATGTAATTTTGCTGATCAAGGAGACAATAAAGAATTAACACCAATAATTAACAACAGTAATTCCTCTGTCGGCGGTTTTTCTCCCGTAGGCGGATCAGACGTTTGGTTTCTCACCCAGATCAGCAGCTGCAGTCGTTTCTTCATGTTGACGGACCGATGGACGGATGGATGAATGAACACAGAGCTGCAGGAGATGGAGGCTGGACAGACTGAAGACCAACAGAGATGGAGGTGATGAACTCAGTGGTGAACATGTACTGCCCCCTGCTGGTGGCTGCTGGAACTGCACCAGCGTCTTTTCTAAATTAAACGGCTGATTTTTTTCCTCCTCTTAACCACCAGGAACAAATATTTTACAAAGACACCAAAGGAGGAACCAAACTGAGCCCAGCTGTGGTTTCCATCAGTCTAGTTGCATGAACATGGTTCTACAGAGCAGCAGAACCTTCTCAGTTCTCGACCTCTGGACTGTGTCTATCTATGTCTGCATCATGGCTCCACATGGAGAAGACCTGAACAGAGGAGGAGAAACATCTGACTGAGAGACTGGACAAAGATGGAAAAGGATCCAGAAGATCAGTGAGCAGCTAGAACCCAGTGCAGCCCAGTGTGAGCAGGAACCAGGAGGTCCAGAAGGAGCCACAGCAGCACTGATCAGGGCTGCAGTGGTCGTCCTCCACTCCTTCAACAAGTTATTTTTCATGTTTCACGTCATCTTGGACAGCTTGGTCCATTTTAAACTAATGTTATTCCTATTTAAATGTGTTTCGGACCACTTTGAGTAACACTGGACCACGTTAAATCCAGTTTTTACACATTTATATTCACTTGGGCTGAATTTGGTCTCAGTTTGGGTCATTTTTAACAAACCTTTCATCCTGTTTCGAGTCATTTTGGAATGTTGTTCATCACTTTTAACATGGCTGAAGTTATTTTGGACACATTAGAACTAAATTTGGACAAATTTATACTCGTTTTCTTCACAGTGCAAGGAACTTTGGACCATTTTTTACTTATTTTCATCATCAACATTATCTCCAACAACTCATTTTGGGCTAGTTCTGAATGGTTTTGGACCATTTTTAAATCAGTTTCATCATCTACATAATTTTCAACGTACTTAACATAATTCTGGACACGTTTAAAGTCATTCTGGAAGATTTTCAGTCATTTGGACAAATTATGAGTCATTTTATGGCATCATAACTTATATTATACATATTTAAAGTGATTTTTGGACCATTTAATGTAATTTCGGACCAATAAAACCCATTTTAACCATTTTTTTGGTACTCATTCTGGACATGTTTAAATTGATTTTGGAGCATTTTTAACTCACTCCAGACGTGCTAAATGTAATTTTTGGACATTTTTGTTATTATTCTATTTTATTTGACCGCATTAAACTTATATTGGACCATTTCTATTTGGTTCCAACGGGCTTCGAGCCACTTGGGGCCACGTTTGACTCTTTCTGGGTTGTTTTTAATTCCGTTTCAACATATCTGAAGTCATTTTGGCGACATGTGTGGTCTTTTAGGGTCGTTCTGACTGACTTTGGACCATTTCTGAACCAGTCCACAGGTGTTCTGGGTCAGTGCCGTTCGCCCGGTGTCCGTCTGGAACCCACAGCTGGTTCCACTTACAGGTTCCGCACACATAAACTCCGCTGCGGCTTCACGTCATCAGGCTACTTCCTGGACCGTCATCGTGTTTCGCGGCGCGTGCCTCTACCCTGAAGCGGCGCTGACGTCACCGCTCCTCCGGCACGCGACCACCGGGGACGCGCCACTGGGCTCGCGAACGCGCACAGATCAGCGTTCGGTCGCGGTTGCAGAATTTAGCGGCGCAGTCGGAGCGTCAGAAGTCAAAGCTGCGCGCCGCTTGTACCGAGCGGCTGGTTCCGTTGGCCCGGTTCGGTCGCCGAGCGGCGGGATTTAGCGGCTTTTCCCTCCAGGTGGAGTCCCGGTTCTGCTGAAGGCGGATGTCTGCGGGTTCGAGGATGCGCACCGTGGTTCTGCTGTCCTGGTTCTGGATGTGGACCCGGAGCCAGCGCTTGGACCACGACAGGTGGGAATAAAAGAGCAGGAAGGAAACCGATCTGCTGTCAAACGGCTTGAATCTGGTTCTTCACGGTTTTCTGAAGTTTTGATGCTTTAAACTTTGTGTTTGGACCGGTTCTGAATGTTTCAGTCGTCTGGTGGCTCTCAGTCCAAACGGACTCGATTCGGACCTGAGGTAGGGACCTGAGGCGACTCGCTGGCGCTGGACAGTCTTTTCACAGAAACTGCTGAGCTTCTTGTGTGCAGGTTAAGTTCTGGTTCTGGTTCCTTTGTCTGCTGCTTTCATGTTTGATTTCTGCAAATGATGAAGGTTTGATTCTGGTGAGCTGGAGGTTCTGTCAGGAGGTGATCAGAACAAACGACAAGAAACGGGTCTGAAAGCTAAACTGTAGCGAGCCGTCGATCCGTTTCCATCCGAAGCAGCTACTGGACAAAACAAGACTTCTGAGGAAACGGATCCACACGTTTGTAACGGTTCAGAACCAAGCAGCCGCCTGACTGGACAGAAACCAGTCCCGTTATTCATGTGTTCAGCTCAAAACAAGAACATTTTTATCGTCCTGTGTTTAGTTCTGGCTGCAAGAAACGACTGAAAGTTTCTGAAAACCGGACTAAAGAACATTCTGACTTCTCCCTGAACAGAACCAAAGAGTCGTTTTAGGAAAGAAAAGCAAACGAAAACAACCCAGAAGGAGCAAAACGGGACAGAACTGCTCGTGAATCGTGGGACTTTCTGTTCAAGCATTTTCTTCAGAAGAAAAGCAGAACTTCAGGAGCGACTCGTTTCTCTTTTCAAGCGTCGGTTGCTTGAAGAGAAGAACTTTGAAGGAGAATAAATCGACTTCTTTGGAGATGAAACGCGACATTTTTCTGTCTTGACCTGAAACACGTTCAGTGTTTTTGTTTCAGCACAAACGTGGGAGCGGTTCTCTCTCTGGGCTCCTCATTCTGCAGCCGTTCAAATGTCCTCGTCTGGTTTCTGAGCTTTTGTTTTGCGCCTTAAAAAGTTTTCTCTCGGAGCGAAACGCTGTGAGACGGAGACGCCAGTCAGACGTCTTTCCTGCTCGTGACCTCTGCCGTGGAAGCGAGCAGACGGAGAAAGTATGCGCCGCGAAAACAGCAGCGAGCGTCGTGTTGAGACAAGTTTCAGGAAACCGGAGACGTGGAGAATCTGGAGACAGAAAGCGGCTCTGTCTGCCTCGGCTAACCCGTCTGTCTGTCTGTCTGTCTGTGTTGCAGCTGGTCGGACCGAGCCGTGCTGATGTCGGACGGCCTCTGTCGCTACGGCAACAGCGTGGAGTGCTGCTGGGGCTGGAGGCCGACGGGCCGAGGGCGGTGTCAGCGTGAGTTCTGATCGGGTTCCATCGGAGACGCTCGGTCGGCGTCGGCTGGCCTGCTTCCAGGACGCGCCTCACAGTTCGATCATGTCACCCAGAGCCGGCCGTCGGCTTTAAAGAGTGTGTTTTAAAGAATAGAAACCAAAAAAGTGACGCAACTTATAAGGCAGAGAGCGGACAGACTGAAAAAACAGTCCCTGAACACATCGGATCAGATCAGATAGAACTGTATTGATCCTGTTGGTGGGGAAACGGTTGTCCTAGCAACAGCACACATCAGTTCAGAAATAAGCAGTGAACAAGGAAACAAACTGTTAGACAGCAGCACGGTGTGATAATAACAACAACAACAATAATAATAGTAGTAATAATAAGCTATATAATATGATAACAAGAAGTGTAGTTATAGGTAAATATAGTTGAGTAAATAATATATAAAGGTGTATTGGTTTATATATTGAATTTATCTATAAAGAATATAAATAAGTATATAAATAAATATATATATATGTGTGTATATATACATGACAGTGACAGTAGAGAGCAGCAGCACGGTGCAATATTAGTGATAACAACAATAACTTACTGTACAATTATATATTGTTTGTAACAGAAAGAAGGCAATAATAATAATAATAATAATAATAATGTAAACAGCAACAGGTGACAGTGACATATTGCACACAGTCTGGTGATAGAGCGTGATGCTCTATCTCACCCCAATGTCCTCACTCCTCACCCCTCCCCCTCCACCCGAGCTCAGAGCTGAACAGTTTGATGGCTCGGGGGACAAAGGAGTTTTTGTTCCTGTTGGTTTTGCACCTGGGGAGGAGCAGCCTGTCGCTGAACTGGCTCCTCTGGGACATGATGACAGTGTGCAGAGGGTGGCCGGCATCGTCCATGATGGCCAGCAGGTTGTTCAGTGTCCTCCTCTCTGCCACTGTCACCAGGGAGTCCAGTTTCATGCCCACTGCAGAGCTGGAACGCCTGATTCATTTGTCCAGCCTCGATGCGTCCCTCGTTGATGCCCCAGCACACCACGGCGTAGAAAAGGACGCTGGCCACCACCGACTGGTAGAACATCTACAGGAAACTCCTGCAGATGTTGAACGACCGGAGCCTCCTCAGGAAGTACAGCCTGCTCTGTCCCCTCTTGTACAGGTAGTCCGTGTTGCATGTCCAGACCAACTTGTTGTCCAGCCACAGCCCAAGGTACTTGTAGCTTTGTACAAGTTCTACCTCATGTGCCTCAATCAGAACTGGTCGTGGGCATGGTCCAGATCTCCTGAAGTGTATCATGTGTGACTCTTGGTTCATTCGTTGAAATCAACCAGATCTGAGCTGGAAATTGTGATATTTCACCAAAAGCATTTGAACAAGACTCTGTTCTTGCTTGATGTTGGCTTGTGGAGCTCTTTTGAAGTAATCATATATTACAGTTGTGTTTAGGGCGTCCCATCAGCTCACCTGGTTGAGCAGCTACCATCAACAGGCTGTAGCTCCCCGACGCAGCGGTCGAGGGTTCGACTCCCGCTCACCACCCTTTGCTGCAGGTCTCTCCCCGTTCTTCTCCCCTCTCCTGTCGCTCTGCTGCTCTGGAGAAAAAGGCAAAAGCCCAACAAATATATAAAAAACAAAAAAAGTTGTGTTTATACGTCCAGAACCTGCTGGAGGCTTCAGAGGCAGAACCACTAAAGAAAACCACCAAATGACCCCATTTATCATCAAGAAACTGTACAAACAGAAAGAACCGTCTCATTTTCTACTTTCAGGTGGTCTCTGAACGCATCATCTCAAACCTTGGATTCTGTCAGAAAAAATAACATCTGATGGTGGAACATCTGTCTACTGATGAAGAATAGAATAGAATAGAAAAATACTTTATTTATCCCAGTCTGGGAAATTACTGTGGTACAGCAGCAGAAAGTACTATTTAAAAAATTACAAATAAAATAGGTGAATAAAATAAAATAAATAAAACATCTTTCTACTGATGGTGGAACATCTTTCTACATNTTTCTTAGCAATTTCTCGCATGGAATAGCCTTCGTTTCTAAGAACAAGAATAGACTGTCGAGTTTCAGATGAAAGTTCTCTTTTTCTGGCCATTTTGAGCGTTTAATTGACCCCACAAATGTGATGGTCCAGAAACTCAATCTGCTCAAAGGAAGGTCAGTTTTGTAGCTTCTGTAACGAGCTAAACTGTTTTCAGATGTGTGAACATGATTGCACAAAGGTTTTCTAATCATCAATTAGCCTTCTGAGCCAATGAGCAAACACATTGTACCATTAGAACACTGGAGTGATAGTTGCTGGAAATGGGCCTCTATACACCTATGTACTGTATTGTACCAAAAACCAGACATTTGCAGCTAGAATAGTCATTTACCACATTAGCAATGTATAGAGTGTATTTCTTTAAAGTTAAGACTAGTTTAAAGTTATCTTCATTGAAAAGTACAGTGCTTTTCCTTCAAAAATAAGGAAATTTCAATGTGACCCCAAACTTTTGAACGGTAGTGTAGATATGGACCCTGTATCCCTGATTCTAGGTCTTCCAAGTGACTATTTGAAAACACCAGTCAACAAAAGACTGTATAACATTCTAACGTTTGCAGCTCGGAAAAATAGTCTTTTACAGTGGGTCAGTGATAAGGCCCCCTCCGTCTGTGGTTGGCGCAAAATAATTTTTGAACTGATCCCTCTAGAATGTCTTACCAGCATTATACATCACAGTGTGGACCAGTTCTACAGAGTATGGCGTCCATTTTTGGATTATATTGGTCCAGACCTCTCGTCCACTTTATTGAAAGGACTGCTACGGACTTGAACGACATCTGAGTACTGTAAGATCGATTCACCACCTCTTGTATCATGACATATGCTTATCTTTCATATAAGAACTGTCGTGTTTGTTTTGTTTGTGTCCAGTTTTGTAGACATTGTATGTTCTGTTAAAACAAAAACTGCAATAAAAACAGTGGAAAAAAAAAATAGAATCCAAACAGAGATTCAACAAAAACGTAGCATTGATCTTATAGGAGGCAAACAGCTGCTGATACTAACAGACGTGATCAGACAGCAGCCAGGCGGGCCGACGTCACGCTGAGGAGGAAACAGAACCAGAACCGCGTAGGGTCAAACTGAACTTCCTGTTTCTATGTTTCAGATGTTCCCAAAGTGACTCTGGAGCCGCAGAAACCAAGAACTACAACTCCCACCACCACTACTACCACCACTACCACTACTACTACTACTACTACTACTACTACTACTACTACTACTAGTACAACGAGTACTACAGCTCGTCCAACCACCACAACTACCGTCCCCATGACAACCACTACCTTAGCAACCAGCATCCCGGCTTCAACTACAGGCGCTGCAACCACCAGGACCGAAACAACCACGTCAAAACCCACCACTACTACTACTACCACTCCTGTTACTACTACTACTACTACTACCACCACCACTCCTGTTACTACTACTACTACCCCAACTACACCACCTACTACCACCACTGCAAGTACAACTACATCAACCACTCTGTTTACTACAACTGAGCTGGATACTACAACTCCAACAATACCTCCTACTACCACTACTACTACCACTCTTGTTACTACTACTGCTGCTACTCCAAGTACCACACCACCTCCTCCTCCTACAACCACGGTTACCACGGTCGCCCCAACAACTACGGTTGCCCCGGCGACGACCACGGTGAGCAACAGGATCAACAAGGACGTGACGCCCAAGCAGAGAGGCGACGTGCACAGTGAGTCCATGAGCCGATCGGGAAATCAGTAACAGCTGATCGGTCGCCCCCACTGGAACGCCGGCGTCCGGTCTTTCAGGAGAACTTGACCTTTCCTGCGTTTTCTGAGAGTCTACATGTTGATTGATTACGAAACCGAAGAGGCTGCTGATTAGATCGGCGTGGAACCGATCGTCCCATCAGCATGTGTTTTTTGTGTGTTTGTGTTGCAGTTCCTCGACATCCAACTCACAACCAGGTCTGGGAGTTTGACATCGAGCTGGGGAACACCGCCGACGACGCCCAAGATGACCCTGGTGAGCATCCGGTGAAAACTAGCCGCTGAGCGATGTGGTCGATTGGCGGCGGAACGAAACCAGTTTCTGTTCAGTGTTTCTCATCAACACACTCTGAGCTCTTCACAGATGAATCTGACCTGAAACCGTTAGAGTCCGAACCGTCAGCGGTCAGGATTTAACGTCGTGTTTTCAGTGCATGAAAGCTAATTAGAGAAAAATACCAAGTAGCGTCGTTTAGCCATCATGCAGTTAATTATAAATCAGATTGAACTGTTTTGTTTGTACGTTGATGAATCGTTTCTGTTTCAGACCGACTTGATGATTGGTCACTACTGAGCAGAGATCAGAGTCGGAGGTTAGCTCAGCAGGAAAACACTTTTATTCTGAAAATATCTGCAGGTTTGATTTAACACGAAGGCGACAAAGTGCTTTCAGAATCTGAGGATAGAAAGTCTCTGATCTGTTTTAGGTTTCAGGAGGCAAACTGTTGAGTCTCAGCTACAAACTCTCACAGGGTGAACCAGATCGACAGCATCACACCTTCATTTGTTGCTCACATGTCAACAGCAGCCACAAACAAAGCAAAACGTTTAAGATGGAAAACCGAGCGACTGTTTCGTTGCAGACGTCGGAGCTCTGCGCTGTTCCTTTGATGGCGGAGTTTGTGGCTGGATGTCGGACGCAGAAGGAGATCTGAGCTGGGAAACCTCCCGTGACCCCACAGGTACAACACCAACCCACTGCGACGGCCTGAATGGAACATGAGAACCAGCGCAAAGGGGCGGCTTGGTTACGTGTCGTTTCACTGTCGGTGTCACTGGCAACAGACACTCAGAGTACATTATAGCACGGCCAAGGAAGAGAATAAAAGATAAAGGCCAACGAGTATTAAAATGAAAAGTTAGCTGAAGCCGTGAAATTGGCGTCCTCAAAGCTGTCAGACTCCATCTCAAAAGGCAGGAATTTTAGCTTGTGTTTCGTTGCTGTGCTAGTTCGGAGGTTTGAGACGTTAGCTCAGACCCAAACCACTAAAATCACACGGAAACAGAACCCGCAGCAGCAGATGGTGGCTGGTACACCTTCAGTACCTGCAAATATTGAACTAGCAGCAGCAAAACATATCGTCACCATGGAAATGAATATCTTTACTGCTTTTCACTGTTTCTGTAAAAAAAAAAAAAAAAAAAACTCTCCTCAAGGCGCACAAACTGCATTCAGAAAAATGTTTTCTGGCATAATTTGGGGTTTGCCGGCCAACCATCAGTGGGTTTGTTTGTGACGTTGGCGAACATTTGGTTGCAAACAAATGTGTGAAAACGTCAAAACCGCCAACAACTCTGTTTATGCACTAAATGTAATGTTTTTTATTGAAGAACAGAAACTTTACCTGCCGTCTTTAAATGACCTTAGATAACTCCGGAAACAACAGAGAGCGGGAATCGAAGCGAGCGATGGGTGTGATGGTTTAACGCGTGCACCCAGAATGCCAGCAGTGTGTCGACAGTGAAGCTCAACCATCACAAGATTTGCGCACCAAGATATTCATTTTTACTGCAAATGTGTGCCAGCCATCGGCCTCCTTGATGACCAATGAGCTCGTAGAAACCACATCATTGGCCCTCTTGTGGCGACAGACCAAGTTACCAGAAACAAGGAACATGATCTGGTTCCGGTTTGTTTTTTGTCCGTGTTCACATGATCACACGCTACACAATGGATCATTTTCACATCAATAGTGTTTGGCTTTTTTTGTCTCAGGTGGGCGATACCTGTCTGTCCCCGAGCTGAGGGCGGGGCAAAGGAGCATCCGTGGCGCTCGATTGGCTGTTCAGATCGTCCCTCCCTGGAGCCACGGCGACCTGTGCTTCTCCTTCTCCCATTGGCTGACGGGGCATGATGTGGGCGTGCTGCAGCTGTTCATCAGGAAAAAGGGACGAGACCAACGGTACTGAAGCTAGACTCAGTTCTTTCAGTGCCGACAGGAGGTGCAGCCAGTGTTGCACTGTACAGAGAAACCAGACAACTGCAAATGAAAAACGAACCACTCTCGCAGTTCCCTTTGTGAACACTTCCTTCTGATTGGCTGTTGCAGGTATGGCTCCGCCCTCTGGAGCAGGACAGGTGGACACGGCTGGAGACAAACGCAGGTTACCATGACGACCCACTCTGTGGACAAGGTGAGACAAACACTTGAACAGGCACAGCGTTTTCTCGGCGTGTTTGTGATGTCGCTGATGACGCGTGCGTGTGTGTGTGCGTGCAGGTGTTGTTGAAGGCCGAGCGCAGGATTGGACGACGAGGTCAGATCGCCATCGATGATGTCACACTGAGCCGGGGGGCGTGTCGATGACATCACCGCGGAGGACATTTCTCTTTCAGACTGAACTCAAAGATGCTCAGGCCACTTTTATAGGATGGACTTGATGATTTTTTTTTTTTTAATAGTTTGTCTTTCAGAGACGGAAAAAGGCGATTTCAGTTCCGATGTGTTCGATTTAAATCCTCAGGCCGGAGGCTGATGGTCCTGTGATCTCTGTCTCTGAACTTTCTGATTAATTGATCAGATCAATGACTTGTTTGGTCTGTAATTACGAGTGTTTCCCAAAGTCCAAAACGACCTCCAGCTTTCACATTTAGGAAGCTGCAATCTGACTGTTTTGATTTGTTTCTACTTAAAAATGACTCAAGCTGTTTGAAAATCTGATGAAGTCAGATCAACATAGCTGCAGATCGATTAAAATCCCGACAACTAATCGATGAATCAGAGTTGGTCTTAGTCAGACTGAAGACGCCTCCATTAAATCAGTTTGTGCAGATCTTGGAAAACAGAATTCAGTCACTTTAAAAAGCCTGAGGAAGCATTAAAGTCTGAAATGTATACACAATTCCTAAATACTGTCTTTGACCTGCTGTTTATTTTTCTGTCTGTCAGAGATGAAAGATTAATTAAGGTTTTGGGGCTAAAATCAACAGATTAGTTAAAAATGACTGAAAATATACATTTGAAGAGTCGCTGCAGGTGAACTGTCTTCTGATGGAAACTGAAGTGACCGACTGTTGTAGCGACAATAACTTTTCATTGGTTAATCCATCCAGGTTGCTTGAATTTAATTATGTAATCAGAAATTGTTGTCACATACAGATTGCAACTGTACATATTTTTGTAATTAAAACTAGCCTGGGCTGCAGGTGTCTCGGTGCTTAGCACCGTTAGCGCCTCACAGCTAGAAGGTCGCCGGTTGGCGTCCCGGTGAGGACACCCGGGATCTTTCTGCGTGGAGTCTCCATGTTCTCCCCGTGCAGCGTGGGTTNTGGAACATCTTTCTACTGATGGTGGAACATCTTTTTACGGCTGATGAGCAGAGAGCAACAGTCTGGAGACTTGGAGATGGTTCAACATCTGCAGGACGAGGAGACCACATGAGCTCAGAGAGACACTAAATGACCAAAAATGACACAAATGAGACTCAAAACAAGACAAAGTGACACAAAATGACAAATGAGAAACAAAACCAACCAAATGAGACAGAAAGCAACAGAACGAGCTCAGACCCGGTCGGTTTCACTGTTTTCAGTTTGTCGTGTTGTTTCAAACCTTCAACCGATCCGCTGTGTGTTTGTGTGTTTGTGTGTTTGTGTGTCCGTGAGCAGCCGACTGCCAGCAGGGATGTAAACACGGAGACTGCGTCGGACCGGACCGGTGCCAGTGTCACCCCGGATACACCGGCAAGGCCTGTAACCACGGTAACCATCAGGATGACGCCACGCCCGTGGAGACGGTCGTGGAGGACTGTGGCTCTGAAATAATCAGAATAAAAACATCCAGACATTTATGTTTCTAGACACAAAAAAAACAAACACAGAATAGACATGTCGCCGTGGCAACACATTTTAAAAATTTTAAATTTCCTTCTTGATTAATGAAATGCAGGAGAGAAAAACTATGATTTAAACTAAATCCTGTGTTAGTTCCTTTACCGGTGGAGGGATGTTAATTAAATGCATTTTATAACTAAAAATTTTCACTCTAGAAACAACAACAACAATAATTCTGTTGCATCGATGATTTTTTTTGAGTTGCAAACATTCGCAGTGAATTGTGTCCGACCAACGAACTGAGTCGAGTTGAAGGAATCAACTTTTCCTCCAATCAAAGATCAAAGATGTGCTTTTAATGAACTCTGAAGTTGAGGGGGGAAAAAACAACAAACTGAAATCCTGAACTCACAGTGAAGGAAAATGAATTTTTCAAGTCGATTTCATGAAGTTAGTACGACTTGAATTTAGTCTGAAATAAGAGTTTAAATATGACAAAAAATATAAAGCTGGTACATATATAATGATATAAATTTCAATACACATCTGTCCTACAGTTGCACAACCTGGACTTTTCTGTGATTTCTGGTGCTTAACATAGCTTAGCTCAAAGACTGTTCACATTGTTAGCTAGCGTATGCTTTTCTATGCTGATGATAGTTTGTTATTCTAGCATGAGCTTTTTCAACGCTAACAGTAATACTTTAATGCTAACGTGTTTGTTTTTTTTACGTTCCGGTTATTTATACGTATTTATTAACTAAACGGTGCGAAACAGGTTCTGCTGGATTCTTTAGGTATCCGAACACTGGAGCAACTTTTTTTTTTTTTTTTTAACATTTTACCAATTTGAAAATTTGCGATAATTAAAGTAAACAACACTTTAAAATTCCTTTTTATGTGGAAAAACCAGCTTGAACATAATGAGTAATAAAACCTTTAAGAGTCGTGTTCAGGCTGCTTGTTATTCTGAGTGTTAAACAACACAGTTGACTGAAGAAGCTCGTTGGCTGAACGTAATTTTATCAGTCTGAATTCAAAAAGATTCACGCAAACTGCTGTGTTAATTATTCTTTGTTGTTTTTATAGTGTAGACGGAGAAGGAACTCAAAATCCTGAAGTTTTCACAGCAGCTTTATCGAGTTAGCTTGACATTAGCCAGCTGGAATTTGAGCTACTGAAAACTTCACTTAAACGTGAGATTCATACTTTGTACAGTGAACATGATTTCAAAACTTTATTTTCCGACTGCTGCTTCCTGCCGGTTGGTTCAGTTCAAATATAGAAACGTTCTCCTGTAATTAGGGACGCAATTAAAGTTGTGTTAACGAGCAGCTTTGGCTCCGGCGGAACATCTGACCACCAGCTGACGGAGGAGCAGCGGTTTGGTTTCCCATCATGCATTCCTGTCGTTACTGTTTGACCTGCGAAGGCCTGTTTTACCTGCACACACACACACACACACACACACACAGACACACACACACAGACGCATGGAGAAAACACACACACACACACACACACACACACACACACACAGACTCACACAGTGTTAATCTCCTGATTAGAGGCTTCATTATGACTCATATCCTGTAAAACAGCATCTGGCTTCCCTCACACTGTCATATAACACACACACACACACACACACACACACACACACACACACACACACACACACTCCAAC